GTTATAATCAAACTTGTAGCATGGAATCTCACACCTTGAATACGTTATTTTTGCTACTGAAATTTGACAGAATGACTAATTGAAGCACTTAGGTAGATTGCAATGCTAACTACACAGCAAAATTTTAATATTTGGAGCTCTCAAAAAGACTCATCTAATCGACCCAAGATCAGGGCAAAGTATAATTTTCTGAGGGAAGTCAAATATAAATTAAGGCAAGACGCAGAGAATAATACGATGGTGATTAAAGCTAGAATAAGGCTACTTTGGAAAAAACAGATTTAGTTCAGCAAGAGAATGTGCCCTCCTTACCTTCCTGACATAAAAACAGCGCTGTAATCTCCCCGGTTGGATGCAATAAATCGTTTCTTCAACTTCTTTAGTGAACGCAACACCTCAAAAGCTGGAGGCTCTGATAAAAGAAAATGAGGAACATGAAGCAGTTTTACTAAATGTTCTCCAGCAACATACTGAAAAGACAAAGAATTGAAGATACATCTAGTGATAGCATATAACAAGTTATTGTAATCACACTCCATACCTAGATCATTTACACAGACATCTTGTGATATTCCGTTTTGCGTAATCTCCTTGAGCAAAGCCAGAGGATCAGCTTTACTAGTCTGGTCTAACCGGAGTCGCTGCAGTATACAAAGCTTGTTAAGAAAAGCATGTGCTTTAAGTTAAGAAAATTTAAATATATATTACCTTGTAAACCTCAGCGGTTGCGCATGCTTCAGGTGGCTTTATTAGAACCATTCGCAGATTCTCTGGCAACAGGTTCGGAATATCTTGGACAATCTGCATACATTTAACTTGAAAGTTGTAGATTATGATCAGCCACATCAGCAGTAAGGTAAACATAGATCATGGACATACATTTCCATGTCAGTTTCTAGTTTATACTCCCTCCGCGCGAAAATACTTGTCATCAAAATAGATAAAAAGGGATGTATTTAGAACTAAAATACGTCTAGATACATCCCCTTTTGTTCATTTTGATGACAAGTATTTCCAGACGGAGGGAGTAGTAATGAATAAATAAATTTTGGAATCTGAAAGGAACCCTCTATGAAAGTGGGTATTTGCTCGAACACAGTTGAATAAGGCAACTCCTGTAAATAAAAATCAATAATGTAGTATGGCCCAATTGCGATGTACTCCCTCTGTAAATTAATATAAGAGCGTTTAGAACACTAAAATAGTGACCTAAATGCTCTTATATTAGTTTACAGAGGGAGTATCAGCTAAACCAATTATCTAATCAACTGTCAATAGGTTGAAAAAGGGTTCAGGTAAGATACTTCACTCTTTCTGGTCCAGGATATTATAGATGCACTTATAAGAAATTGAATGATGGATCTGCTCCAATCATATTAATGTGGCCTGGCCTTTCTTCCAGATTTTCTTTCTAACATAAGAGTCCACATATAGGAAACTGAAAAAGATACGGAAGTTCTTTTGGGGAGACCCAGAATGTGCTATCAGGATTGTAACAAAGAGTTTCATGCCAGTATTACAGAAAATCATCACTCAGTTCTCAGCAACTTGAGGAAAGGTTTTGTTGGATTCCATCCTGGGGGAACTAAGCTTTGGGTGTTGGCAGGTGTCAAGGCACTCCGGCGTCTACCACTCCATGCCCTGTCTCCCTACGCCGTACCCTAGCTTAGCTAGCTCCCTGTATAGTCTTTTTCTTTTTGCTGTCTAGTTGTTTTTGTTTCCATAGCTAGGCTGCTTTGTATCGGTTTCAGTTTTTCGTTCGCCTTCTACTTTGCATCATCTTGATGCCTTCTTCTGATATACAATGACACATATTTTGGTTTCTGTTCGAGAGAAGAAAAAAAAAACACGCACATGCCTTAATGGAGTAGGGACTATTCACTGGGAAGTAGTGCTTCACATACCTCTCCTCTACCGGTACAATATGCTGCTCCTCGTGAAAAGAAGAAGGGGATATCTGATCCAATCTCACCAGACCATTCTTGAAGATCTTTTTCTGAAGCAATGCCACCACTAAACTGGTTAGCAGCCCATAGTGCAGTTGCAGCATTACTGCTTCCTCCACCAAGACCAGCACCAGTTGGGACCTTCTTATCAAGATGTATCTACACTTCAACAAGGACAAGAGTAAAAGATAAAATCTATAGCAAACATACCAAGTAAAATAAAATAACCTTCACTCCCTTTAATGTCAAAACAATGTATAGTTTACATACCCAAAAGTGCTTATCGGTGCCAGTTTTCTTGCGGTAAAGGTCAAGTGCCCTGATGATCTGCGAATTCATGAAATAAAAAAGTAAGGTAAGGTAATAAAGATGCTTCAAGTGTATTTGTAAGTCCATATAAGAAGTATCTATATCAAACATACCAGGTTACTATCATCAACTGGGACACCTGCAACATTGGTTGATAGCCGATCTTTGCTCTTACTTGGCGACAGTGAGAATTTGATAGTATCACCCAAACTAACCACCTGGTTCATATATATGATTATCAAAAGTGATACAAAGAACAGCTCTATAAAGCAGAACAAATCGTAACCATATCAATAAAAAGGAAGGACACACCACTATAACATAGGGCTAAGATCAGATCTGGCAACTTAATTTGGAGAAGGAATAATGTACATTGCAGAGCCAATTGTTTATTACTAGCTCTAATTACCCGATGCACAAGAACTTAGGGGGAAACTGACATATTAGTAAATAGAATTGTTATAGCTAGACCAGAAAAGATCATACAGCTGATAAGTTGGTACATCTGACAGATTATGCGAATAAAAGAAACATCTCTATAGATTTATTTTTAATCTTCCACCTGCTGGGTTTTCCCCCAAAAAATATTAATCTTCCATACTACAACTCCATGAAAAGATGAATGGTGCTAAAATTATAAAATCACCCTTTCCACATATGTTCATGCAGATATCACTAAATATCACTACAACAAGCACAAGAAATAACTCACGTGAAACAGAGAAGCCAGGTCATGGAACCCGTCTGGTCTCTTCCCGGTTATCCTCAAGAAGACATTAATCTACAAGGTAGATGCTATACAGGTCTAGGTCAATGGGCAAAACAATAATAACCAAATTTAACCTTTCCCTTGCTTATCAGAAACATAACAACTGATACATACTTTGCAAGGTGAGAACAGGTTGAGCCGTGTAATCCCGACATCCTGGTCAATCTGGTCGGCTAGCTGGTTAAACTTGGCTTGTGCGTCATACGTAAGCTTAACAAAAGAACACAGCTATAAATTAGAATACAAAATATGGTGGAGAAACAACAGCTGCAGTAGATTTTCTTAAATTGCCAAAACTGCAGGGCAGATAGTCTATGGCTGGCAGATATCGTAGCAGTATGTTACATCAAGGGAAAAAATGATCACACAGAGCTTGAAGCAATTCGCTATGTTGTAGCCAATACAAATGCTGTTCTCAGAGTGAAATACTGAATCTGTTGATACCATATAACTATGATGATACACTTGGTGCTTACTCTACAACACGAAGAAACGGAAGTCCATGACTGTTGTCCAGAATTATTTTATTAATTTGCAGTAAAGCATCATGGGATGAGCGGAACCACACAGGAAATTGCGCCGGTGACTAACTAATTGGAGGGGGTCAGAAATCACAGATGACGCCCGGAGAGAGTGCAGAGCAATCAATTACCTCGATTTTCTTCCTCCCTTGCTCGGCCGACGCGGCGACTCTTACGCTTGGAGACCGTCGGCTCCTGGTGCTGGAGCTGGAGCTGACGCCGGCGGAAGCCGCCGCCGCGGGTCGGGCCTGGAACCGGAGGTGCTTGGACGGGGCCGGGCAGGAGCGGTGGGACTGGTACAGGCTCTGCGAGAGAAGATGGGCGGAGCAAGCCATGACTGCCGCCGGGCGCCGGCCGGAGTCGGAGCTGAGAAACGGGGAAGGGAGCGGGGGGAGGAAGAAGAGACTGGGAAGAAGATAACACGGTAGCTAGCCGGCCACTCTGGCGGGGCGACGGCTTTTGGGCAGCGGCCTCCGGTCAAGAGGTCCTCGACATGTGTTTGGAATTTTGATGAACGTGAGATAGATAAGTCTGGGCGGCCTGACTAAACAAAGTATGCTACAGTAGTAGCAGGACAAAATGGCATCTCCATGCCTCGCTCTTCTCGCTGGCACGTTTCTTTTGTGCGACAACGCAGGAAACACGACCGATCAAACTCTTCACAGATCCTTATGTGTGACAATACAAAGTTCAGCTGGAACTGAACTGGTACAGTCCGATATACTAGTTTACTTTACTGCAGAATATACGGAGTAGTTCACTCTGCTCAGTAGACAGTTTGGGTGAACGTTACAGGCACCCATCACAGATTCATCATATATATCTAAGCTCCACACCACGCCTCCAGCTTGGAGCAGGAGCTCAGGGGAGTGTCACGGATCATAGTGCCACTCAGAGTAGGTTATCTGCCCAGGGTCGTCGTTGTAAACCGCAGGCGCAGGCTCACCCCCGCCTCCTCCGTACTGGTAAGAACTGGGACCGGAGCTCGACGACCCGAACGGCCAGAGGAACGAGAAAGGGCTCCCTCCTTCGTCGGCGCCGTTCCTCATGACAGGCCCAGGGTCCGCTCCGGCACCGTCAACCCCACGGCTCACGGCTTCGCCGGCTTGGGCCGAAGGTTGTGGACGGGCTGCATTGTTGTCCGATCCTCGCTGCGGCGGCAGCGGGTGGCGGCAAACTGGGCAGGAGTTGTGCTGAACCAACCAGGGGATGATGCAGCTGGCATGGTACAGGTGCTTGCACGGCATCTCCCTCGCCTCCGAGCCAATTTCAAATCTTTCCGTGCAGACTGGGCAGACTGGATCATCGCTCAGATGCCTGCGGGTTATCCTCACCACCGGCATGGAGTCGATCACGGACTGTGGAGCCGGCGCTGGTCCTTGACGGTTGCCGGTCTGCAGTAGCAACTGCTCGAACAGAGCTTCCAGGCTGGGGCCGCCGACAAGGAAGCCACTGAAGTTTGGACGGTCAGCGCCGATTCTGCGGCCTCCCCTGACAAGCACGTTTACTCCGCTGTCGTCGCTCCCCTGAGCAGGCATGTTGCTGCCGAATATCAGCCTAGGGCCAATAGGGGATGGCCTTCCTTGTGTAGTACTTGCCCAAGCTGCATTAGGATCAAACACAGGATTGCTGCCCATTTCTGCCATCCGGCGACGCATGAGGGCAGACATAGCATCCATCATTCCAAATCGTCCATCTAGGCGATCATCGAAGCGTGGCCCAAACATACCGTAGTTGTTCAAAGCGCCTCGTGTCTCACTGATCTCTTGTATGAAGCCATCATTGCAGTTGGGACAGATTATATCTTGTCCACGAAGACGAATTGGCCGACGGCACGCATAACACCAATGTGTGGCTCTGTTTGACATCTTGAATCTGTGACAGATTAAGCTCCCAGCATTAGCAGGCAGTTTCTATATTTTGTAGTACCATACAAGCAACATTTGAAAACATACACTAGCACAAGTGATTACTAAGTGGAAAAAGGTAAGCAGGATAAACTGTACTTGATTAATATTACGCTTAACTCATCATTCATCAAATGGCAAGTTTGCTCATATAGATATACATATGTCATGAAGCAGAATCAATGTGTTTAGCTGCAAATATCACCTCTATATTTCCTAATTTGGGTTTCTATTGTTCATGCGTACAACAATTAACTCCGTGTAAATTCATATCAGGAAGACAACAAAAGAATGGTGTCAGAAGGTACTGTGCTACTGCAATGATAATCTCTTACTCAACTTATCACAGATAGAATGCAATCCACTTTGGCTACACTATGATAAAAAGAGATAATTGTATCAGTCCAATTGCATGTGATTTGTACCATATGCAGAGCACACACTGAAATGCTTTTTAAAAATGTAATTTTAAAAAAATTGACTGCAATTGAAATGCTTGCTTGTCACTGCATTTCATTACGGTTAACATTTGGGGGCTATAGTACAGTTTGTTCTTCAGTAGACTGGAAGGAAATAACAGATAAGAACAACTCACGTTTCTCACTAGAACTTATCCCACTGAGGTTTGGAAGACTGCAGGCAGTGCTTATTGCTGCTTTTTCTACGCTGAATTGAATTAGTATCTTAGATTTGTTTCAGGGATAAACCCTAACCCCCAGGGTACTACATGGAAAACTCACCACTTACGATTGGTTATGTATGCTATCCAAATTTCATATGGTTGCCTGTGAGCATGCTACAGAATGGTGTACTCTGAATAAACAAAGTATCACCTCAGTTTCGAATTATACGGCGTTTTGAATATTTCAATATGGACTACATACGGACAGAAATGAGCGAACAAACACACTAAAACGTGTCTATATACATCCGATTCAGAAAAAAGTTAGAACATCTTATAATACGAAACGGGGGGAGTAATTGCCAGTGATTTCTTAGTGAATCATCCACTTACATGATTACTGAGAATAAGGCTCTTGAACCAATTATCCTACTAGACCAAAGTTTAGCATTATTTGCCCATTACACTGCCTATGCTTTGCCTGTCAAAGCAACAACCAATTATCCACCGGATCCAGACGCACTATGATTCTGCTAAGACGTCAAGACGCGATACGAAACAGAGTGCACTTGCTAATAAGCTATCCAGCCTGTGTGAAAACCCCTATTTTGCTGCGTGGCTGCTGTGTTAAGTGGTGCAGGATGTGTATTTAGAACCGCTATGTCGGTGTGCTTTTGTTAGTAGTACTGCCAGATAAAAATACTGGAGGTTCAACAAGTTGTTCCCCTGAATCCAATTCCAATTTTAAAAGGGGAAAGAAAGATCTTCGTACCCAACCAACCCTAGGACCACGCAGTCGTCTCGTGCAAAAGAGAACAGTAAAGGCTACAGAACTCATAATCTCACACCTCGCGTCAGAAATCAGAACCAGTTGTTCAGGACCCATAATCTCACAACAGGCCTCAATTGGCCCCTGACAGGAAGGTAAACGAGAGACGAACAGCGCCATGAATCATCCAATGCATGAATCTAGCAAATCATGCATCCCCAATTCGGCAACAGTCCCCACACACCCCACACGCAGCCCCCAAATCTCGCGCGGCTGGGCACGGAAAGGGGCACCGGAATCGGCGCTCATGCAGAAACCTTAAGCGATTAGCACGAGGAGCGTCGATCGGGGTTGGTGGTACGGTACCTTTGATCCCGGCGGGGAGGAGGGATGGCGGAGGGGCGGGCGGTTGGGGCGCTGCTGGGAGTGGCGAGGAGTGTGTGCGTGATGTGTGACGGGGAGTGATCAGGCGCTGCGGTCATATAGACGCGGCGGGGTTTGCGGCGAAGCGTGGCACGCCGGTGGCACCGATCGAGTGAGCAGTGCGCCGTTCGCTGTACCGCGCGGGGCCCCATGGTATGGTTAGGTGGCGTGCGCGAGGGTTGGAGGTGGCGTGGCGCGCTCCAGCACCACTCGACCACCACGCTACGCGCGCTTCCGGGTCACCACCAGCAAGCATGGGCCGGAACGAGTATAAATAATAATTCTGGAGTATCAAACAATTCTCGAAAAAAACTTGTCATAAAAAGAACTAACGTGTGATTGGATAACTACAGGATGGTTGTGTTGTGTTTCCAGCCCATGAGGGGAAAAAGTGAGCTTACATGTGCTCGCTCATATGGGTGAGTGCATGTGCGTGTATGTTTGTATTGTGTTTCTCACAAAAAACTTGTTGTAGGCTAGATTTTACGCCGGCATAAAAATAATAAATTTAATTCTTAACTTATTATTTTTGAAGTACCAAGCAAATGAATCCCTCGACAGGTCTTCTTTTGTGGATCTGAAAAAGGAGGCCCTGAGCATTTCGAAGCTTACGAAGGATTTCAAAATCGTGAAGATTGATAGACAAGCTAATAGGGTTGTGCACGAGATTGGTAAGTTTAGTTTTGTTAGCAGGACCGATGGTGCTTTATGTAATAGCGTTTCGTCTTGCGTGGCTACTTTTGTAATGAACGATTGTAAGAATCTTGTTTTTGACTAATTAATATATGGGGGTTTAAAAAAAATTGGCCTTTCCTGTGCAAAAGTGTTCTTTTTGTTATGAAGAGTTGATAAGCACATAGTAGACATGAACACATATTTGCAAATGTTTATAGACAATTTTTGACACTTCAAACATTTCAACAAATTTAATGTTCATCGCAAGAGAAGTCGTTTTCACTTTCTTAATTTATTGACTTAGTTGTTATGATTTGTATTTTAAAGGGGGTCCGGGACTCAGTGGTTATGGTCAATTTTAAGTTTGGCAACTGTTAAGGTAACACCTAGTTAATCTTTAGTATAAATCAAGCAAGTTGAATAAGTAATGCAACGGAGAATGATAACTTGCATGAAAGTAAACAGTTGAGTGAAGATGATGTGAACATAGAGGGGCTTGAAGATGTTTTACCGAGGTTCGGATGGTTGCCGCTATCCTACTCCTTGTTGATGGAGGCTTTGAACCAAATGGTTCTAAGATTACAAGGACCTTGATTGCGACGCCCACCAAACATAATGTTTTACCATGGTCTATCGACCTTTCATTGTCAAGCCTCGCAAAGGGGTAGATCTCACAAATTAGGCGATTTCCTTGCCTTCACAAACTCTCAAGTCCTTCACAAGTAGAGGATGAATGCTCTTAAGTAACTGCCAACTATCAAGGAGGTGCACATCCTTCAAGAGTAACAACAAAGCAAAGTCATTGGGTATGACTGCTCCGCTCTAAAAGATCTTTAATCAAAGTTCTTCTCAAACCAATAGGATCTCTCTCTCTCTCTCTCTCTCTCTCTCACACACACACACACACACAAAGGATGTGAGCAGTGTAAATAGAGATAAACACCAGGTTTGTGGTTTCAAGAGAAAGGTAGAA